GGAGAATCTGCCATAGAGATTTCTGAGTAGTCAGGCTTTAGCGTAGCAATCCGCTATAGCCCTCTAATTTCAATTTAAATGGAGAAATTTTTCTCAAATACTGAAAAACGCTTTATTGCTTTGGTAGAGTTTGAAAGTGTTTTTTGATTTTGTTGAATCTAGTATAATAATCAGTTGAATTATAGAGTTAATACCAAAAGCCTTGAATCAGAGTTGCCATTTTTGAAAACTTTTCAGAGGAAAGTTTCATAGAACAAAAATTTCAATTGCCGTCATAGAACATTATCATCTAATTTACGTAAACACATTTCTGTCAGTATTTCACATTTCCACATCATTTTTATTTATATTTCTAAATAATTTCGTTTCCTATAATTTTACTCTATAGCATTCAGAAATTAATATATGACTAACTACATAGCTGAATTGAGAAAAGAAAATGCATCTCTCAAGAGTAGATGGATGTTTCAAATTAATTTCTGCAAAGAATAATTTTATTTTCAACAAAGTAGAATCAGAAAATAAGTGAAAGTAAGTTTTACACTGCAAATTTAAGCAAAAATAGGTCTCAAAGACGATTCGCCCAAATTTCCAGAGAAGGTACAAAGCATATGAAACATTGTGTTATAAGTGCTTTTATAAAAAAACAATACATTCAATGAAAGGGGGGGGGTTGTTTTTTCTAGATCTCAATGTAAGTGCAAAACAAAATGTAGAATATTTAATGTTATTTGTAGGATAAATTTCGTTCCCACTCTCCTCCTTGAGTAATCTTTGTGTTAGCTTCCTTCAGTCATTTTCGCTTCACCTTTCTTAGAACCGGAACGCTGCTATAAGTAGAAGAAGAAAATATAATCATATACTCGATTGCTGATGAATTGAATGCTTTGAAACATTTTGATACTAATTGTGCAAAAAAATGTTCTCATATATAATGTACATGATCAAAAAATTCATTTACTGCAAGATCATTCAATTAACATGAAAATCACAATGACTTACAATCGCCCCTGTTTTTCTTGAATTTCATGAATGAGAGAATGAATCTATTAAAATTAGATAAAGTAAATTAGGTGAAATTTAGCTTTCAAGATTTTTCTCCTATGTTGAAATATAATTTGAATAATTGACCGATTTCTTCGAAACAGGTTGAAATCCGAACCGCTATTGCTGATTAATGGTAGGCTTGTAATTTGAGGTCGTAAACAACTCTTAAAGAGGTGTAAATTAAATAAAGGCCAAATAAACTGCTTTTTGCAAAATGTGATTAATTATGATTTTGAAGGGAAATTGACCCAAAATTACTGCAAGAGTAATTGTTCACACGAACACTTTAATGAGTTAATATACCGGTTGCTGATTTTAGTCCACCCCAAGATATCTCGCATTTGAGTTTATAGTACGGGTAAAGACAGTGATTCTCCTCTGATGTTTACCATCGCATTTTTCTACTTATTTTATGGATATGCCTCCATTTAACTTCCCCCTAAGGTCTTATATTTCGAAATTGATACGAACAACTTACTTGTTAAAGGCTTAGGTGTAAGTTGAGTATAACATTTTCGGTTGGGCACGTACTTCTGTCATAAAAGCCGAATGATAATCAAATGATAAAGAATGAAAAATCCACCTAACCTTCTTCCTCTGCCTTGCTCCCTAGGACCCTAATTACTCCTTTCTCAATTCTGTTCTTATTCATTGCAAATTGTCCACCCAAACCTGCTATCCTAAGTAACTACCGGTCTTCTCACTCGAGAAACCCTCCTGTATCTTCTTATACACAGAACGATTATTAGTTCATGGTGAAAATATCAGATATAATTTGTTTGGACTCCCTTAGTATGAAGATTAGAGCTACTCTAAATAAAACAATATACATTACTCTTGTGGAAAATGCTTAATTATATGTAAATTTAGAAAACAAGAGATCTTACTTCCTCGGTTTGCATATGCAGTCGCTCCTGCCATTCCCATTTTTCCTTTTGACAGCTCTGTACTCTTGCGTAGAGATCTTTAATAAGTTCCACCAACTGAGCTGTAGATTGAACAAGAATTTGGATCAGAGGGAGTTATTGAGAAATGAAATTTTAAACACTTTATGAGGCAACTATTTATGTAGATAATCTAGTGCACTTAAAAAAATCTTAAATCCTAACATGATTTAAATAGTCTCTCTCGGATGTTGGGTGGGGGGGGGGGGGGGGGGGGGGGGGGNGGGGGAGGAAGGGTAGTTGACAATGAAGTTATGTGCTTTCAATAGTCGAGAGATGCTATAAATATTTGTATTTCCCTAATGAGTGATTGACATTAACAACACTTTAACTATGAACTTTTAATCTTAAGGGTCTATCTTATCTCGGCATTGTTCATGCACTTAAAATTGCAGTAATACCTTTAATAACAATCAGATTAATGAACATATAGTTACTGCCACTTCTTAATCTTTAAGTGTTAATTATTTTGATTAATATTTTGCTTTGAACTCAGCAATAACAGGAATTTAAAGAAAATTGCACAAATATCTCCCTCAATTATGGAAATAAATACGACAAAATCTAACAAAAGGTATCAACACTCTATTTATGAGTTTTATGCACAAACGATATATCGTTGAATATTGTCATTTAAACTACCGTCATCCATATTGTCGATGTTTATTGGTGGGCAGACTTTTTGAAGGTAATTTTGTTTTGCTTGCATTAGCTCTTTCTGCTCATTACGAAATTCTTCTTCCGCCTTTTGCATTAGGAGCTCCTATAATGGCATTCAGTGAAATTTATACTTTGTGATATTGCAGTTAAAAGAGCAATTGAACCACGTCTTACTTTCAATCGTTTGCGCTTTTCAGGAGTAAGACCTCCAAATTTCCTAACCAATGAATGGCTTCTTGTCTTCTCCATTTGCGCCTGGCTCAAATCTCGAAGTACGGATTCCCTTCTCTTATCCTAATTTCATAAATATTTAATTTAATAGAAATGAATTTCCTTACGTCGTTTTTTTGCATCCGAGCCATCATTACCTAAAACAAAACTTAATATTTCAGTGAGTGAATAGAATATGAATAAGTTAACGCCTTGATCATTTGCTACAAACCGATTTTCTTATCCATTTCAATTTCAAAATGCCGAGAATCTTAGAATGTCAAAATATTACTTCAATTACTTTGTTTAAAAAGGAAAGATAAATGATACAAATACTCATAGGATAAGTAGTAATGTGTTCGATAATTACTATGCTAAAATCCATCATGGAATAATAGCATTCGCTTACTTCTCCTATCGAATTAATTTGCAGAGGGGATATTTTAGTATTTAAAATCAAATTTGGGTATAATAAAACGATAATTTCACTGAATGTATTTATTATTTGGATTTAACCTGTAATTAGAAAAATGTATTAGAGCATAATAAGCACCACTTTTTCAATTAGATGTAAATTAAATTAGATTTATTTACGCATTCACTGAAAGGGAACTTTTTGCTACGATGCATACAAAATCCACATTTTTTCAAATAGTACAGAGAAGAGGGAATCGACTCCAAGATCATTGTAGGAACAAAACGTATTTCAATTATGATTATGTAATTTGTAAACGAGCTAAAATATGGATATAAAGAAACTATGGCAGATTCAAACAATGGAAAACGTTTCCACAACGAAACATAGTTTAGTTACTTTGACATTGACATTGCATTGACAAAAAATAAAGGAAAGATGCAAAATTTGAAACCTTCAAATGAATGACTTAAATGTCCGTTCTTTTTGAAAGCATCTGGCGGTGTTTTGGGAGATTTTTAAAGGGTTAACAAATAATGAAAATATTTTCAAACGACTACTATTTTGTACCAAAATGCAGTATTTAAAACGCACGCATAAAATAATTGGCTTAAAAAGTAAAAAATTAACAACAGTTTCATGTGAATCGGTTCAAAATGATTGCAATTTGGGCGCAAATTAAGTTATTTAGTAGACCATGTGTATAAAAATGTCTAGTAAACATTTATTGCCAACTTTAAAAAAGGATTATACGTTTTGCAATTGAAAATAAGATAAAGTAGTGTTGACAAATAGAAACATTTCACATACCTCAGCACGTTTTTGGTCAGTTGCAAGTTGTCTCCGTTTCTCCTCCTAAAGGCGCAATTTAGTCACGTTAGAGTGCTTCGTTTTTTTAATAAAAACGTTAATCTTTGAAAATAACTGTGAAATTAATTTTACATTTATCACAGATATATATATATATCATAATTTAAAATTCATGAAAGTTTCGAACCTCAATTAGTATAAATTTTTCTTTTTGTTTTTTTTCACGATTCCTTTCAATAAATTTATTTTTCCGGTAGTTCATGCAATTTTACCTTGTCAAATTATTTATCAAAGTATATTTAATCAGAACATTGAGATTTTATATTACGCGTCAATTAGAATATTCACTAAAAACTTGTTTGCTTAGATAGGTCAATTAAATAGGCTTAATTTATTCTATGTATTTATATGGGTTTTTCCACCGTGGCTTTAAGCTAGATTTAAGGAGGAACACATTCAGAATATCACAAGTTGAGATATATAGATACAGGCAATTAGTTGAGACATTTTTAAAAGCAAGTGGTAAACTTTTGAACTTTTAAAATTATATGGTACACTGAATACACGTGCAAATAAGCCAACATGAATTATGCATCACTAAAATAACTCAAACGCATAAATACCACTCCACGAATGAGGCAAATGCTAAGTGTAAAGAGCATGTAGGGCTACCTTCAGTCAATACGGTCTGTTCGAGGTATCAGACCACCAGATCACAATTTTTCAATGAATAATAACTTAAGATAAATTTGTGTTTAATGCTACTATCAGCGTTTTAGATATCAAACAAATCAATAGATAAGAATATTTCTATTATTTACTATCTACTATAAATTCTGAGAAGAAATAAAAATTTCAAACTTTAAAAGATACAATGAGCATGTGGAACATTGGGCCAATAGATTGAATTCTCCCTTGATATCCTTAATTCTTTTATCTTTTGATGTCTGAATCCCTCTTCACGCGCATATTGGTTTTCTTAGCAAGGCCGATTTAATGATTTCATATTATTGAAATAGCACACGCAGTTTAGTTTTAGTAAGTTAATAACACATAATTTTGACATTTGAATTTTAGAGTTGTGACATACAATATTTAAAAGAGCCAATTTCCTACCACAACTTATTTCATATGAGTCAATTTAAGCAGACATTATAATGAATAATTTTTACTTGGTTGCGCGAAAACTATATTATCTAGTAATATTTCAATAAATCCTTTGTAAAATATTGAAATAATTTGAAATCGTTAAAATGAGAAATGAAGTTACATTTGAATTTTTAATAAGGTCTCGCTGTACAACATTAATAATTGTATTTCGGTAGTCAAAATATTTTCATTAAACTCTTGAATTGATCTATAAGGAACACCTCGATTTCATTAACGCAAATGTGTTGGAAACCATATATGACAAGCGATTTTAAATCGCTTTTCCCAATGACGTATAATCGAGAATGCGTACTCGAGCTTTAGCAATTCCTTAATACCTTCGTGTAAATACAATTAGTTTTAAGGTTAAGATAAAAATAAGGATGGCTTTCCCCTTAAGAGATATTCCATTCTCTAAAATATCTGAATTCAAATTACGAAAAAAATAAAGGAACTTGTGTAAAATTTTGGATTCTAAAATATTAACTATTCAAGAATATACTAGCTATTCTAATATTCAAACTTTTCAAGGATATTACTTCGAACTAATGGTTTTTAACAATAAGTAAAAGAGTTTATCAAAGATAAAAAAGAATAAGAACTTTTCAGTTGGCTTTTAATATTATAATTAACTCACTGTTAACCTTTCTGCTTCCTCTTTTTCAAATTCCTTCACCTAAAATGGGATCAAGTGACAACAAATATTATTAGGGACACAATGCAATTTATCTTATATTTTTTAAATAATTTAGACATTATTTAAAATTTTAATCGACTAATAGCTAATAGTAATGCACCCTGACCTTTAATAATAAAAGGTAGATTTTTTGCTGGTTTTTTTTTATCTGGATTATTTTCGTTGATTTACCTCTTCAATGACGTCCTTTAGTGTCTCCCTTCGATTCAGCACATAACTAATAGACTCATCTTTCTGTTGCGAAAGATAAACGTCCAGGGATGACAATCTAATTGGGGAAAAATATAGAAATAAAAAATGAATCCAATGACTCGAATACACCACGTCAAAGAGTAAGTTCATAGTCGTAAGTCGGTAAATTTCTAGTTTATTCCTAACTGTACGCAAATGTTAAATAAACGACTAGACCACGTTGTCTTTTATTTATACACCTAAGTGGCTTTGATAATTACTCTATTCTCAAAATATTTAAATTGTTTTAATGTGATAAAAGGCACTTTAAATCACAGAAAGCAAACTAATTTCTTGTAAGTGCAAAGGAAAAGAAAATCCCAATTTTTAATGAAAATTTTGTCACCTAAACTGGAAAAAGAAAGATATTATATAATGAAGGCCTAAATGTAGTGCCATTCAATAAAATATTGTTTTTATTAGGTCCTTATCCGTGATTTAAGACGTGTGACAATTTATCACCTTAAGAATTTCCGGGAAGAAAAGTGTTTTTTTTTATTATTTCAAAGAATCACAGAGGCATTTTTCCTAACACAGGCGCTATGGCGACGCAAAACTGCCAATGAGATTCTTTGAATATACTTTGCAAAATGGCGGGAAATTCAAGATTTAAAAAGTCTTCCACATAGATGAAGTATGACATTATATAAAGTAGCTTTTGAGATTCTTTTCAGACTTTTGTAGGAGCAGAGTATGATAATGAATAAATGGGTTTAAAAATGATATATCAGCTTTGTTTATCTTCACATAATATCATTTATTTCATTATTTGATAGGGCATTTGAAAATGCACTTCATTGCAGAGTACACATTTTCGATAAGCTGCGATACAATTTTAAAATCTGGCAAACGAATGCTATAGAGGTGGTGTTTGTGGCTAATGAGGAAAGTGCCATTTACCTTACGGGTTCACAAATTTCGTGTTTTGTTACCAAAAAGAGCAAACCATGATATTTAGATAAATTTTGAAGTCGATTTTACTTATTTCACAGATTGTCTGGTCGTTTTTTAGGTTTACTGCAACATAATGAAGTTTTTTATCATTTAAAGCCAACCGACTCATTTGTATACTTTTGGGTAAAAATGATAAAATTTTAATTCATTTCAAATATTTAATTAGCTTTTACATAACAGACGGAGAATGCATCTCTACTAATTAGACAAATATGATTTCAAGATAACCAAGTTCAAGTACTTTTGATTTTTTAAACCAATTTCTATACCTTTTTGCATGATGCTGGTTCTCAATTGCACTTGAAAGCAATCATTATATCAAGATAATTCTTAGCAAAGAATCGCATCAGTATGATTTTCTAACGTAACTTTATTAAAAAGGGTCTTCTTAATGTCCTATATTGCACAAGTTCGTACATAACGGCGCAGAATGCACTCACAATATAAACATTCCATTGGTGAAAGTTTGTGGTTTAAGGCAATAACTTATCATTTAGGCCTTGAAATGCTTGTAATTACGCGATTTTGTGGAATAAATTATTAAATTGTAGCTTACTATAAAAGTTCATTGTAATTCATGATAAATTATCAATAGAATTCTAATTTATAATTTCCCAATATAAATTAACTCAAATTACAAACACCATGGCAGATGTAATGTCTTAATACTAGCTTAATACTACATTTCTTCTATTGAGTCAGTATAATGTGTACAGCAATTTACATTCTCATTCTCCAAAAATTAAAATCGGTTTCAAAATAAAGAAAATTTGGACTTGAAATACTGATTCAGTAATTATTATTTTTCTCGTTCAAATTGTAATAATTCTGTAAAGCCATTTTTTAACTATTTTAATTTTATTTAAATGCATCTTAGAATCTATGACATAACACATTTTTCACCTCGAAACAGGAAGTTCATATTATTACAGTTGGAAATATTCCGATAGATAGATACAAGCATACATTTCTAATCTTCATATGGAATATCCTTCCCCTTACCTTCTGCCAGTACGTCCATTGCCAGATCCCATTGAATCAGTGTGTTGCATCGTCCCTTCCTCACCAGAAGATGAAGCGTACTCTTCAGCATCGGCACTATTTTTCATGTGATTTTGTTGTCTTTGGGTAAGTTCTGGCATCGTGTCATCAGATGTAGAACTCTTCGAATTGAAAGTATCGTCCTTGCAACTCCCACTCATGGATGATTGACTCATTCGACAAAATACACAAATACTAAATCAATCAAACTCAAATCTTTAATTCAAATACAAGTGGTTTCTTAAAATAGTAAATTAAGTCATGAATAAATTTGGCATACAAGTTAATTTATTAAATTGTAGAAGCTCCTAATAATCACCGGCATAAAAAAATAATTGGAGTTTTGCATTATTACCAAATATAGGAAAATGGATTTACACATACCTCCTTACTGAGAGAACGGCAGATTGTATAAAAGTTCTTGGTAAACGATAGTTAATAAAAGTCAATCTGAAAGTGTCAGATTGGTTGAATAAATTGGCCAATTGGAAAAGCCCTGGCAGAGCCACATGTTTGCGCTTGAAATATGTGGAGTTATAAACATCTATCGTTGCTGGACCTGCTCAATTTTCCAGCATAACCTTTTCGGGTGGAAATCAAAGGAATGTAATAATTTTGGTTTGATGAGAACAATAAAAATTACACAGTGTAACATGGAATAAATACCTCCAGTTTTCGGTCACTTATATTTGTAACAGATCATTGATGATTTATGATGTAATAATTTTAATCTAAAAACTTTCTGTTGGTTATTAATTATTTAAAATAATTTTTTACGTTCGAATTCTTGAATCAATTCGACATGGAGTTTTAATAAACAATTTTTGCCAATTTTTTTCCAACGCAGATTTGAAATAAAATCATTAAAATTTTAGGTTATGCGATTTTTTTCTAGAAATAGAATAAAAGCGGACAATCTATGAAAGAATGGTTTTTGGAGCTGCTAACTGGCAGAAATGCTATTTATTTTATTTACATAAAAATTTAAATAAAATTAAATTTATAAAATTGAAAATGTTAGTATACTTTATTATATTTTCATACGAATGAATTCAGCTCACTTGTCCCTTCCAGGTTAAAGAGTTTGATGTAACCACCTGTACTTTAAACACACACACACACACACCATTCTAGGCGATAACCCACTTATGGTGTCAAAGCACCAAGTGCTGAATCATGAAATATTCATTAATGATATTATAAGGGAATTTTAATCTCAACCGCGTGATAAACAGTGCAATTGTTCTCAGTTGCCTTAAAAACCATTTTTGAATATAAACAACCTTCTGGTGTATTGTAAATAGTTTAAGACATTTTGCCTCAAACTTGCAGCCGTACGAACATCACATGTCTACCCAACTCCCAGGGAGACTAGCGTAGTCGTTGGAAGTAGACTTTAATCTCTAAATTTCAAGTGTTTCGCGTTCGTTCCTGATTAAATTTTCAAATGTCTTTTAACTATCCCAATGTTCTTTATCAATTTCATAGCTAGAAAAACATGTTCGGAAAATCATTTTACATTACCCAGCGTATCTCCGCTCAGTCTTTGTTTAATGCACCCAACCTATGTTCTAGAATTTTCAATTTTCTTCTCTCTCTCAGCTACCTTTCATTAACGTGTTATGCTTCCAAATTCACTTCCTTTCTTCTTAGTTTATGCACCTGTACTCCCGGTGACCCTCCAGACTCATTTCCCCACACCTTTGCAATCATAAAATTTGGTTAGTCGAAGTGGAGAACATGATTATGAATAGACTTAAACGAGCGAATTTAATAAATGGCATTGTAGAAGCTATTTGCGAGTTTTAGCATGTGAATCTATGTAGTGGCATTTTTTCCGAATCCCCGCGTGGAGTATATTATTATAATTTATAAAACGGGGTGGGCGATAGACGTACCTCCACGTGGTGCATCCAGGGCAACGTATATTCATACGGCAAAAAAGTCTATTAACTGGCAGTTGACTTCTCACTTCAAATCGCCATCACCTCACTCTATGCCATACCTCTCTCGAATTTTTTAAATTTGATGTTCCTTCCCCTCTGTGAAGTCTGAAGTCAACTAAAGGGTTAATGATAACCATCAAAACGCCTACCATTTGATATAAATAAATAATTGATAAAACATTAAGCGGCACTAATTATGTACTTTTTTAGTCAATTTAGTCTTGATTAATTAATAAGGTTATTTCCAGGAATTTTTCTTGAAAAAAGTGTATTCAAAAATTGAGGACATTTACGTGTGAAGCGCCCCTCTAATAAACTAACGAGTTTGAAAATTAGTGGATTCAAATTATCTTGTATCGAAATAAGTGCGTTTGAAATTGGACATAGAAACTGAAATTACTATTATAATAAATAACGGAATAATTAATATCATTCATCACCAAAGGTGTATACATTTGTTTTATTAAATGAAGTATTTAAGAGCATATGAAAACAATAGTGAATGATAGTGGAAGGGAACTATTTTACGCAATTTTGCTTCATTAAAGCCACAATTAAATGCAGCTCAAAATTTCTCGCTTATATTCTAGCAGAATATTGAACATAAACGCATAGTCCCGGAAACCTCGCTGAACACCCAGGTCCTTCTCTATTTTTCTAAATTACTTGTCAACTTTTACCTGTTTGGAGCTCAACATCTGGTGAGTCGAGTCTTATCATCTGCCACGAATATCAAGTTAATTTCGATCAAACTTCTTAATAGCTGCAAAATTGTTATATTATAACTTCGTAAAGGGCGATTCCAAGATATTTTGTTTATGAGAAATTTTGCTGAAGCAGTCAGTCCTCTTGGAATTATAGCCAACTCTTTGTCATTTTACTTATAAGGGTGAACCGATGTCGTCTTGAACAAAGTACCAAAATTAAACGCTCTTTAACGTACTCAACAATAAAGCTAGTGTTAATCAGGATGCACCTTTAATCGAAAGGACTAGTACTTTAAATTATATTCTAGTCTCTGTGAAGCCCGAAGTCAGCTAAATAACTAATGATATCTATCAAAACGTCTGCCATTTGAAATAAATATTATTCTAATCAGGGGTGTGCAATAGACTTACCTCCACGTGGTGCACCCTGGGCAACGTATATTCATACAGCAAAAAGTCAAGTAACCCGCAGTTGACTTCTGACTTCAAACTACCATCACCCCACCGTATGTCATATTCGACCCATTCACAGTACTCATCTAGCCTTTTCTCTGCCTTTGTGTCTGTCTGTCTCTTCTACATCTGTGAATCTCTCTTCTTTTCCCCTGTCGAATTTTTCTCACCTTAGTGCTCCTCCCTTCTGTGAAGCCCGAAGTCAACGAAAGGGCTAA